CGGGGTCCGCGCTCCGGGGCGGCCCGGCCGGCCCGCGGGGGCCCGTCCTGCGTCCCGCCGTCCCCGCGCCGGGGCCCCCGGCTCCCGGGCCGAGCACCTGCCGGGCGGCGGGGGGCTCGAACCTCCGGGATCCGCGCCGCCCGACGCGGAAAAGTTGCCGCCGGCCGCCGGCGCGACACCGCCGGCACTCGCTTCCTTTTGGCGTCTAGGTGACAGGGCTCTAGGCTGGGGATCGGGACTGCGTTTCCCACAGGTCTGGCGCGAGCGCCCAAGTCCTGGGAGTAAGGAAAAGCGGAGAGAGGAGCAGGCGAGGATATTAATGCCTTGCTGAAGGTCACGAAGGGCTGAGGCCAGAACCCCGAGATTGCAATTAATTAAATTACACCTCTGTCATGTCCTTAATACCATTTCTCCGAAGAGATAGACGCTCGGAGCCTAAGCCCTGAACGTTCTTCACGGTGGGTGTGTGCTGATGGAATGACGCCTTCTAGACCTTTCTAGTTATTTTATACTCGCCTGTGAGCTGACAGCCAAGCTAGGAGAAAAGTTCCTGTCTGAAAAATGAGCTTAATGTGGAATGAACTTAGTGAAATCGGCATCTTTGACGTTGTTTTCCAAGGGCATCTTTCTTGTAATGAATTTACAAAACTTTTGAAATTACCTAACTAGCAATTCGTCAAGTTGCAGGAAAAATTAATGGCATTTCTTCAGTTTTTACTGTGTAAAACATTTAAGGCTCGCCTTTTTAGGTAGTTAGAGCTCTTATTTTTAATCTTACAACTTTAAGCTACAAAATAAACACCCACTTGAGACTTAAAGGATGTACATTTTCCAGGTTATGTATCTACTGAGTGTGACTGGTTTCTAGTGAAACTTTCTGCCTAGTAGAGGAGATCAAGAATAAATGTTGGTAGAGTGTGTGCCAGAGTTTGATCCCTGGGAATGGTGGAGCACACCTGTAATCCCAGAACTGTAGAGGAGCAGAGGTTCAAGGTCATCCCATCTACATCAGGAGTTCTAGGCTAGCTTGGGCTTTGTGAAACCTACCCTCAGAAGACAAGAATGAATGGACAACAGAATGAGAGGAAAATGTAATGGGGGAGAAGTAAGCATTAACAAATAGAGATTGCACTGAGGACAGCATTGGAGAGGGAGTCTTAGGGGCAGGCAAGATGCAGCTGTCAAGAGGAAAGGCATGTTGGATGGAAGATAGGAGCCTGCAGAGTCCGTGGTGGGAGAGGAGTGATCCTGGAGCCTACCTAAAGTGCTGACGGAAAGGTTAAAGACATCTCATAGGACAGGCTAACAAACTTACATAGTTTTTCTGTTTGTAAAGAGGAAGCACTGACTTTTTTTGTTTTTGAGAAGTGCTGAATGGAACAGAATAAACCTGATAACAGAATATAAGATGCCCCAACTGGAGGGTGTCTGTTTGCAGAGAGGAAATGGATATCAACTTGATTTGACTATTAACTACAGGGAAAGCACAGAATGGAAATAGAGCGCTTTGGTAGGAGGGTTGATGACTTCAGGTTCGTACTGTGTGCTGGCAGAAACTCCTGGTAGGAAGTCAAGCAGGTGGTAACAGCGCAAACTGCTGAGGAACCATATGAACTGGACGCAGTAGCTTTGGGTGCCTTGAGAGGAGGCGGTAAGTGAGCCTTCAGAACTGGGTGAATGTGTTACTCTCGATTAAATTACAGTAAATTTACAGGGTAACTGTACAGTAAAGGTGTTCTGCTCACCAAATCTAGACCCTACAAATTGACTGTTAATGGTGTTAAATACAATATAAGAGATCTGATGCCTTCTCTCTGTGGTTTTGGAAACAGGTATGGAAAAGGACCTCCAAAAGGAGTGATGATCAGTGATCTGTGCTCAGACCGGATGTGCATGCTCATGACTCAGGACACCTACCAAGAACACTGCGCTAGCTCCTGGGCCCAGCCTCTCTCCCCCTTAGTGCTCCTCTTTGCCTGAACTGCTAAAGCCAGCGGACCACGAATGGCTACCCAAAGGAAACACTTGGTGAAAGATTTCAACCCTTACATCACCTGCTCTATCTGTAAAGGGTATCTGATCAAGCCGACCACCGTGACAGAATGCCTCCATACCTGTACGTATGTCTGTGTCAGTCTGTCGCTGACGTTCGTCTTTGTGCTGGTTCCCTTAAACTTGTCTGGATTTTAAGTTTTAAAAAAGTAGTCTCAGGGAACTTTCATGCTGTTTACATCCGAGTGACAAATATTCTGAAAATGAACTTGAAATCCTAATACATGTTTACTTTTAAAACCAGATTGTAAAATGTTCTAAAAAGGCTTTAATTGGTTATGAATTTGCAAAAGGTGAAGTATTTAAAGTTTTTTTTTAGAGCGTGCATATCATTGATCCTTCACCAATCACACCAGTGCCCGCTTTCCCTGAGAACCTGTTAAGAATGCAAGTTGTCCACAGACCTCCTTTCTGAGGGCCTCTTTTGCCCAGCATCTTTCTCTCAGGGATGCTTGGTAATTCTGAAGCATGCTCAAGTTTGAGACTATTTTAATATTGCCATAGCTGAGGAATTTCTAGAACTCCATTGTCTTCTTCTGCCTTACCAGAGGGAAAGAGACATTTTTTATAACCTTGTATGAGTATATATACTGTGTTTTCTGTTACTATAATTTTATTTTCTTTCTTCAGCGAAACTGATTCCAGTAGCCTTAGTTTAATGTCTGTCATGTTCTAAACTAGATGCTATATGTACCCAAGTCACTTTAGCTTTGCAGTAATCTTGAAGCAGTTTGGAATGGGTGTAGGGGAAAGAGTATTCGGACTGTCTGCATTTTATATGTGTGAAAAATAAGTTTCACTAACTCTCTGCCCACAACTCCTGAATGATGGACCTGAATTCAGCTCCAAAGCCTAGTCAGTCTCTCGTATAATACCAATGCCTTTTTCCAAAGCTTCCTTCGAGCTCCTCCGCCAAATGGATAGACTACATACCGGTAGTTTCAAACAAATGAGCACATACAATCATTAGGAAGTTAAAATGACCAATTTTATGTTATATATGATTGTCTAAGTCAGAGTTTCTATTGCTGTGATGAAACACCAGAAAGCAAGTTGGGGAGGAAAGGGTTTATTTGACTTACACTTCCAGATCACAGTCTGTCATTGGAGGAATTCAGGACAGGAACTCAAGCAGGGCTGGAACCTTGGGGCAGGAGCTGATGCAGAGGCCATGGAGGGATGCTGCTGCTTACTGGCTTGCTTCCCCTGGCTTGCTCAGCCTTGTTGGCTTATGGACCCCAGGACCAGGAATGGCACCACCCACCATGGGCTGGGCCCTCCCCCATTGATCACTAATGGAGAAAATGCCTTACAGCTGGATCTCACTGAGGGGTTTCCTCAACTGAGGCTCCTTCTTTCTGATGACTCTAGCTTGTGTCAAGTTGACAGAAAACCAGCCAGGACAATAGTTTAACACACTGAGACCTGCTGGGTCTGTGGTCAGGTCTGGTCACATGTACTGTGGAAAAGCTGTCTAATGGTGTTGATGGCTGCTCCTCTGGGATGTTAACTGGCTCATGCTGTTCAATTAGCAGTTAACTATGAAATATCTTTTATGGTTAATTTGTTCTTGCCTTGTTTTTAACTTGAACAGTTAATAATTAACTATCATTGAAAACATTTATTGATTACCTACTATGTGTCAGGTACACTGTTAAATACGGAGGATACAAGAGTTTTCAAAATAAGAAAACTGAGAAAAATAAGAAAACTGATCAAGGAGTTCACAGTCTAGGAAGGGGAACTTATATTAAATATGCTCAGTATTAGCTGGTGATGAGTGGCATGGAGCGAGACAGATTGGAGATAGGGATGGAGTTATTTTATATGATGTCATACCAGCCTCTCGATGCCATTTTAACAGAAACTTTAAGGGACTGAGCTTTGTAGAAATTTGGAAAGAACCTTCTAGAGAGAGCAATATCAAATAAGTCCAGAGGCCTTGAGCCCAGAATACACTTGGCAGGCTCTAGGAATACCAAGACAGTTAGAAGGCTCTCCTACACATACACACACCCTGTAAGACAGGCTTCAGTCAAAGACAGCAGATTTGGGATAGAGGAGGTGAAAAGTGATTGGGCTGTGGGTATTTGGAGAAGAGTGAAGGGTACACACTGGAGTGGGCAGTCAAGCATGCTCTTCTGCTTCCTGTTGTACTTGCACGTATACCTGCATATGGTCCACATTCTCTTTTGTTTCACTGATCCTAATGTTTGTTTTTATATTTGGATCTCCCTAGAAGAAATAGCCAACTAGGAGAGATAAGATAAAAGCACACGTCTCAATTTTTCTCTACTACAAATTTTATATCCTGAAAGAAATTTTGAAATAAAATCCCAAATTATTATCTCATTTTTTGAAGAAAAGATTCTAGAAGTATACATTATTTGTCAGAAGCAAAAATTATTTTTATGTTCTTTTTTTATGTTTCTTTTTTTCCTGATCAGCCATGAAATTTTATTTAGCTACTTGAAATAGTACTTTTGTCATTGATTTTATCATTGAAGAATATGCTGGTTTTTTGTTTGTTTGTTTTTGAGACAGGGTTTCTATGTAACATTGGCTGGCCTGGACTCACCTTGTAAACCAGGCTGGCTTCGAACTCACAGAGATCTACCTGCCTCTGCCCAAGATTATAGGCACGAATATAGGCATTATATTCAGACCAGCTGAATATACTGTTAATATGCTTTATAAAGAAATATTATTTTTCATGGAAATATTGGCTGAGATTTTTCTTTTTTTATAAGTATGGTCTGATTACACTTTTCCTAGTTCCTCCTGCTCTCACCTGCTTCCCCACCCAACTCCATACTTTTTTATTCTTTTTAAAAAACAAACAACAAACCAAGAAACTCATCTGTGCTTGCACATATAATGACCCACAAAAAAAATAATAAAAATAAAATCAGAAACCAAAATATACAAGCAAAAGACCAATAGGACAAAAAAACTCCAAATAAAGCTATATGAGACAAAAAGTATACAAAAAGTAGACAAAAAATACCATTGAGTTCATTTTGTGTTGGCCGTCATCTTCTGGGCATGAGGCCCACCCTGGAGTGTGGATAATACGCTCAGTGAGACTCCATTGGAGGAGGCTAATTTTTCCTTTGCCAGTGGGTGCCTGTTGCAGATAGCTTCCTGGCTAGCGGTGGGAGCTGTGTCCACTCCTTCCTCTCAGTGCTGGGACCCCGTCTGTCTTGAACCTGTGCAGGCCCTCCCCGTGCACGCTGCCCCAGGCTCTGTGCCTCCCTCCTACTGTGTCTGGGGACAATTTTCTTAGAGTCCTCTGTCATCTCTGGCTCTTGCAGTCTTTTTGCTCCGAAGTCTCCCACTGTCTGCACGTTGTCCACTTGTGGGTCTCTTAGTCCCATCCACGGCAAGAAGCCTTTCTGATGATGGCTGACTGAGGCTCTGATCTGTTGGTATAACAGTGCCATCTGGAGTCATGTAATTGCTGTGTCTTTGGCAGAGCAAGAGAATTGGCTTTTCCTTAGGCTTGGCTTCTCTACTTTCAGTGAGAAATGCAAGTATTGTCTTTAGCAACAGGACCTCACTGTCCATTTGTGGAGAACAGCTGATAGTCTTGGTAATAGCCTGTTGAAACAGTAGTTGAAAGCTTAAAGATGTAAATAACAAACTGTATAAATCATTCTTTTCTAAACAGTTTTTTGGCAATGGACTGGCCCCTTTACTGAGAGTTGAAGTGGTAGAATTTCAATGAGGATTCAGTAGTAACCCCAAGTGTGGGCTTTATCATTCACAGAGAAGCCTGAGCAGTAAATGGAGTCAGGTATTAGGCTTGGTGCCTGAGATCTGAGGATTCTGTAGCACATAGCACAAGGATTATTAACTCTTGGATTTCTATGTCCTGTATATTTTTATGTTGAGCCTTTAAGGGGGAACAATCTCGTTTACTAAGCATTCTCTAGGTTTTTTTGTTTTGTTTTGTTTTGGTTGGTTGGTTGGTTGGTTGGTTGGTTGGTTGGTTGGTTGGTTG